ACTGAGCTCAAACTTAGAGAATATAGTCCTTGATATTTCTGTATTAATTGGAGTCATCCAGATTGCTTCAGGATTTAAGCTAAGATATTTGTATCATTTGATATAAGCTTTTACCTGTGGTTTTATATTTACTTTATAGATATGAATATTTTGAACTTCTTCATATTTTTTTTGATATGCCTTTATAAGATTTTATTGACTTTTTAATCCATATCTATTAGATATATATGTCAGATATCAATATTCTCTTTGGTTTTAGATTCTTGAAAGACTTTCTTATCTAAGTTTTTTTCTGTTTTTTGTTTCTTGAAAATAGCCAGAGGTGTTATATATTGAATCACAAAGTTGTCTTCTTTTTAGTTAACTTTTTCTATGTATCTTACTATGTCTTTTTTTTTTTTGTACCCAAAAAACTAACCACTCATTTCTGTTAATAAATTCTTTTCTCAACAAGTTTCTTTTTTTTTTATAGAAGTTTAAGAATGTTGGTTAAGTAGACTTTAGTTTCATCTTCTATTTCTCCTGGAATATTAATTATCATTACATCTAATCTATAGATTTCTTTTTTTTTTATGAAGTACAAATTTGTTGGTAGTACCATGTCTCTATTTCTAGTAGTACAAGAGCTGTGTTTACTAATACATTGTCTTTTGACTATTTTTTGAAGTTCCTGTAATTCTAACTCGACTATCTCCTATATATATGTTATTGTTACTTAATTGTCCACTATTAATTCATTATCTATTTGTTTGATAATTTCCATTGATTATTACTCTAGTTTAGTATAGTTTTTAGGATTTTTGATAATTTCCATAAACTTGTTTTTAATTTAGGGTTATAGAAGATCTTTTTTTATTCCTTTACCTTGTTACCAAAGATATATGATATGCTAAATTAGAATTCTTTCCTTATAAAAGGTTGTCATGTCAACTCACAATATCTTAGTTATAATATTATCTAAAATAGTATATATTTCTAATGATAAGGCTATTGGTCTATTGGATTTACTATTTCTTTGTTGTAGTAATTGTTGTAAGGCCCATAGAATAATGTGTTCATCATATTTTTTTGAAAGATTAATTAAGGTATTTATTATATCCTCTTCTCTTTTATTAACTATTTATAATATATGTTATACTCTATTCATATTTAATGGCTCAAATCTATTGGAATGCTTATTTATGTTTATCGATAATCTATTTTTAGGTCATAAATAAATTTTTTTGAGATTGTTATTGTTTATGTATTTCAATTAGGTAATACAGAAAAACTTTATTTGTTGTTTTGATATGTTTTATTAGTTTATGTTAACAATCTTATTCTAATTTTGAAAGTTGTTGTCATATTTGTATGAAGTATCGATCATCTTGTTTGATGACAAATTATATATATATGTGCATATTTTCATTGTCACTTTTACATATATACTTATTTTGCTAATCTACTTTTTATATGTTCATATTCACATGACAAGATAGGAATAGATATATTATTTATATGTATATATATGTTTAAACTGTCTTATTTTTAGGGAACTTTGATATTCTTTTGGGTCTTTGAGTAACTGGAACAACTTGATATTTTTCTGGATCTTTGAGTAACTGGAGCAACTTGATTTATTGAGTAGGCTTAATTATTTCTTAAATTTCTTACAGTATCAAAAAAGGTATTAATCTGTATTGGTTTGACTATAAATTATATAAAACTGATATTGACTTCTTTTTTTTGACTGTGAATCAATTTACAGGTGTCTTTTCTTTCTCTTAAAATTTTTTAAGAAAATGAAATAAAAGAAAATTAATAAAATAGTATATAACTCTTTCTTTGATGTTTTTGAATAGTTTGTTATATGTGTATTAAAAGTGCTTAGTAGTTTGATTTAAAGAATATATTATTTTTTCTAGTATGTTTAAACTGGTTCACTTTTTTCAAGAAAATTATCAAAAAAGAAAATTTTTTGAAAAAAGAAGAAACAACAGAAAAAAGTTTTTTTTATTTAATCATAATAAATTATTGATTTGTTATAACCTATTTATTCTTATTTATTTTATTGTTTTGTAAAATTTTTGTGATATTGATTAATTTGTTCACTAGATTAATTTTTGTTTATTATAAATAATTAATGATTCTTATTATTTAATCCTATTTGTTTATCAGATTAATTATTATTAATTTGTCTTTATTATGATAAGTCAGTTTATTTATATAGTATATAGATTTTTAATAAATCTTGTTGTATTGTTTATTACTAATTCTTTTTACATATACAATATATATTTGTATAATTTGTTTTGATATTTAGTTAGGAGTGATTTGTAAAATCTGGATACTCTACTGTTTGATTCTTAGAAGTCTTTGATATTCTTTTGAATTTTGTAGATTTTAAGTTTTTCCTAATTTATTGGTAAAAACTATTTGTTTATAAAGTTTTTTTTGATATTTAAAAAAGTGTAAATTGATACTGACCTGATTAGAAGCTTGAAAAATTAATATTGAGCTCTTCTAAGTTTATATAATGATATGATTTTTTCTTCTAATAAAGATAAGACTAAGAAAAGTCAAGTATTGTTTTTAAAACTTCTTTAGTTTCTAAAAAAGTCTTGCAAAGTGTAGCTAAGTATTATATTTGCTATTTGATATTTAACTATATAGTATTTTGAGCAGACTTCTCTTTTTCAAAGAAATTATCAAAAAAATTTTTTTGGGGAAAAAGGGAATTAACAGAAAGAGTTGTTATTTACAATAACAAACTAGTTATATTAACAAATAAGGTATAAAAATTTTTCTTTATAATATCAATATATTTAATAAAATCTAACTCTATTCATTTATTTTTATTTTTTATTTTTTTATCTTTTGTATTATACAGATAATATTAAAGAAACAACTTCGTATACTCTAGTTTCTTGATTTACAGTATGTAAATAAGAAAAACAATCATTTTTAAAAAGTAATAAATTAATAATTAAGAGTTTTTTTAGCGATATAATTTTTTAACTCAAGATTACAAAGATATTTAATAAACATACTGTATTATAAATAATCTGATAATACACAGTATATACAGTTTTCTTATGATTCACAGCATCATATACAGTTGTATGAGAAATATTTAATGCAATCGCCGTCTTTAATCCTGCAAGATAAGCACCAAATATTTGATCTCTTTTTTTCGGTTGTCGATTTATTTCCGCGCACTTTTTCGAAAAAGACTATAATTATGTTCATGTCAAAAAAAAAATAGCATGAAAGTTTTTCCTTGATACGGTAATCTAGGAGAGCGATGCCGTATACTGACAAAGGAAAAACTTTTGATTAATATAGTAGAAAATTAAGATATCAGATATTAGCAAAAAAAAACCTAAAGGCATAACATAAGCTTTTAGAAGGGAAAATCTTTAATAAGAGTAATTATTGATGTGACGATAGCATGCAAGTGGGCAAGAATTTTTTTGGTTATGTAATATAATTGGAAACAGGTTTAATTACATCGCGACATATTTAGTAAAGATGAAGATGGATAAACGTTCTTAAGGACTAGCCCAGCGCAGACTGTAAATATAAAATGAATTAATATTTAGGGCTCTAGAATTTCTTACTAATTTGTACTCAGGATTTTAATCAAAAAAGGAATTATTAATAGATTGGCTCGGAATACCAAATTTGGCCAACCGAGGATTTCTTAAATACGCATCGTTTCAAAAAAAAAAAAAAAAACATCGATAACGCGAAAAGATGCTCTCATTAGCTTTATCGAATGCTCTTATCTATCTTACGATGGTTGCCTTCCTGTGTGTTGGCATGTATGCCGGATACACGAAGACCAAAAGCAAGATTGATTTCTTATCCTCAATTGGCACCCAGACAGCCCTTTCATTGGCCGCCAATTGGTTTGCTGCAAGTGAGTCGGTCATTCTCTTGGAGAAAATTAGAATTTGAGAAATCATGAATTGGATTGGAGCGGCAATATTCAATGTCAAAAATGTGGTTCAGGTAAGCATTGATTTATCTCCTCTAGGCGTAGAACCATACATATTCGCTTTTGATGTGCGAATTCGTTAAAAGAATCGCCAGATGTCGCGTTATATTTGACTATATCTATTATTCTTGTTGCGTCGAATTAATTCTCGCTGTTCGCGCACTCTACAATTCACAAACAAATTTGCAGGCGTAAGTTTTACAATACGTGATATCTGGCAGTTCGAAATCCTAATAAATGTTATTTTCGTTCGGAATCGGCACTACGGGTGTCCAACAGTTGATGGTATCATAAATGGCTCTTGCCCGGGTGATCAAATGATTATGCTGTGCAAGACTGATTTCTGATGCAATCACCATTGGGCTGAGAAAGTACCGTAATCACCTGATCAGGATAATGCCTGCGTAGGGAAGCTGCCGCTTCAAATAATTCGTTGCGTTGTATCATCTTCTAATTTTTTCCTCAGATTTTTCCTGATTTTAGCTGTCGGCGTGTGAGATCTCTGTTGTACACGTGTGTGAGTGGGAAAGACCTGCTCAAGTGTACTTCAGTTATTATTGCGCGTCGAAAGTCATCCATCTCTAGGCAATTTCAAAACTAATTTTTTCCGCGGAATTCATTTAGATCTTGGCTCTTCGGTTCTTTACGGTTACCCCGAAGTTGGTACACTATCAGGTCTCCTTGGGGTATTCTGGTATGCATTTGGAAGCACCGCCCCCCTTTGGGTGTTCGCTTGGCTTGGACCCGCGATGAGAAAAAAGTGCCCCGATGGTTTCACGTTGACCACATTCGTCTTACAAAGATTTGGAAGAATCAATCAAATATATATTTCACTAATGTCAATGGCATATATGTTCTGTTATATGGTCAGCGAGTTATCCGCTGTGGGAGCTATTATAAATTATTTGACGAATTTAGATCCCCTCGTGCCTACCATAATGATCGCCGTAACGACCACAATTTATACCGGTAGGTATTTTTTCCTCTTTCATCAATCTACGCACAAAATTCGACTTACGATATGATCTTTAAAATAGCCTATGGAGGTTTTCGTGCATCTTTGCTTACCGATACTGTTCAAGGTTGGGCTATCATTGTTTTACTCGTGATCTCGACCATCGGTTTCGGGATTGCAGTGAAAATTGACAGATCACTGATTGGACCCAGCGGCCTTTTGGATTCCAATGTATTGGGATGGGAATTGGCGTGGATAATGCCCATTGCTGTCACCTTTGCCAACCTATTTCACGAGGTACAATGAATGCGATTTACCAGTCACAACAACCTTTGAAATCCTTAAGGGTTTATTAATCAATGTTTTATATATCCGCAGGGATACTGGCAGCGAACCTTTGCTTCAAAAAACGATCGTGAACTCGTGCTTTCCACCATCTACGGAGGTATAATGTTGTTCCCCACATTATTTATCATAGGCTTCACCGGCGTGATTGCTTACTGGGCTGGTACTTGGCCCGGCAGTCCGTCAAATCCTCAACCAGGATATTTGGCGTTCTTTACCCTTTTCTCTTTGCTTCCAGACTGGGTCGTGGGTTTTGTCGTGATATTAACAGTCAGTTTAAGTTGTTCAGCTTATGATACATTGCAAAGCGCCATGGTGGCAACCATGTCAAATGACTTATTCAATAATAAACTTCCAATGATT